CTCAGAATTGTCTCAGCCCTCCATCCTTCCCAGGGGGGGAAAAAAAGGGCCCCGGTTGTTTGGGGGAAAATGCTGTATCTCTGTAAACCGCTTAGAGGGCTGAAAGCCCTATGAAGCGGTATATAAGTCTACTGCTATTGCTATTGCTACTGCTATTGTCCATGGGGTCGCGATGGGTCAGAGACGGCTTCGCAACTAACAACAACTAATCAATCCAAACATTAACAGTATTCAATCGATCCCGGGAGTGTATCTCCAACACCCCACAATTTTTAATCCTTAAAAATTGAAATTCACAATATATTTTAACACACTGTTAATATTAATAATACATTGCATTGCTGTACTATGGGAGGAGTTTTGTTTGCACTGCTTTAAATTGCTGTTTTTTAAAATGGGAAGATTTAGTTCCTGCCTAGATCTCTTGTTATCACAAACCTTTCAATAAAAGCTCCTTTTGGAACAATTTCCATTTCTAGAGTCCTGCTTTCTTAGGAAGATTTGGAGAGACAAGACGTCGCAGGGAGAGAAAAAGAAATGCAAGCACGCAAACAAAGAAGGGACACTTCTTTTTCTGGAGTTGGAAGCTAAGCAGAATCAAGCCTAGCTGGTATGTGAGGGCAACTAGAGTAGATTGGGAAGTTGAAAAAACAATTCTGAACAAAAATATGGTAAACCATGTCCATAATGGTGCCAAACAAGTACATGATTGTGTCCACAAAGTCATCAGTTCAAAAACAGCTTGATTGGAAAGGGACTCTGATATTTATAATGTTAGAGTACTTCAAAAATGATTCAGAAGAATTGCTTTGGACATCTTACAATAACAATCCCTCCCTAAACTTTTCAAGGCTACTAAGTGAACCTGAAAACTGAATGTGCAACTTTTCACATTTCCATAGTAATAAATAGGGATGCACAATGTTTAACATTTGAAATGTCCCACTTCAATCATTCAGAAGTGTTTCGTGCCTAAAACAAAAATGGACAAAAGTCTACTTTGCATAAGGTACTTGGAATTGAATGTTTAAAACTTAAAAGAAGTTTTGGGATTCAAAACAACTCAAATTCAGAACAATTTGCACATATCTAATAAAAGTAATCTGAAAGCTGAACTATCAAATAATTTCCCATGTATTATTATATCAATATAATTACTATTTTCTATTCTTACCTCTTCCTTGTTGTTTTCCACTGGGGCTGGAATATTTCCAGGCATACTGTCACTATCTACAAGAAACATACAAACATGTCATACCAACATTTAAAAAATTATAATTGTTCAAAATATTCAAATGACCTTATATTTATGAGGCTATTCACTATTACACCATATTGATGGGGGAGGGGGGTCAATGTATAAAGCCTTGCAGAAGAGGTAAGGGCAAGAAACACCAGACTTGTACTATCCATCACCTAACACCTGACTAGGTGGTTTGGGGTGGAGGGAGGGAAGGGAATCTAAATGTAGAACAACATGATTACCAATAGGAGAAAATATTTGTAACTCAAGAGTTGAACTGTAGGGGTCTTGATTCTCTCTGAGCTTTCTTGAAGACATTTCATTACCAAACTAGGTAACACAATGAGTGCTAGAAAGGAGTGGGGTTAGTTCTTATTTTTATTTTCTAGTGGCTCGTGAGTGTGTTTCTAAATTAGGCTGTTGTTTACTGTTAGCATGTTTGTCTCCGTTGGTAGTTCCTTGGTTGTGGTTATATTTACTTCTTGGGCGGGCAAGGATAGTTGATGCGCAAAATATACATTGCAACGCTTATTGCAAAGCCTCTCA